AAAAAAAAAAAAAAAAAAAAAAAAAAAAGTTACAGAATCTATTAATTCCTTTTTCCTCTCTTTTCTTTTCTTTTTTTTTTTTCTTTCTTCTTTTATTTTACTGCAAAATTCTACTGCAGCATGTGCCTGAAATCACCGCCGTTAGGACGGTGGATCAAATACTCATCACAACCGTTGGATCTGCCGAATATCGAACCTTGACTTAAAAACTGCTCTTGCTGTTGAACCTCCTTCTGCCGTCGCAGTTCCATCACTTTCCGGTGAGAATTTGAGTGCTTCGTCGACACAAATGTCGGGCTCGCAGCGGGTCGGTATTCAGGTACGAGTCGCCCCGACTTGTACCGAACCCCGCAAGCGTTACACAGCGTTTTCGGCCCAGTTGGCCCAGTCCGCCACTGCGGCGTCTTCTCCGCCGCGCAATGCAGGCATTTCCTCCCAGACGGCGACGTCGTTTCCGACTTCACTGGTCCCCCGGCCTGGAGAAGGCGCGTGGACCAGTCGCAAGGAGAACCGCGTGACCGCTTGCTTCGAGCCTTTCCGGGGAGAGCTTCGTGTTCGAAAAATGAAGTCGTTTTTGCACTTCCATAACCAAACGCCGTGGTGCCGGAGGACGACGGCGTTTCTGGATGCGCCGCCGTACCGGTGAGGAACGGAATAGGTGGAAAATCCTTTTCAATCTCCTCTGTCGAAAATGAATCCTCAACGAAATTGGAAAGCCATTCGAGTTCCGCCAAATCGTCCCGCTAAAGGGGGAAAAAAAACAAAAAACAAAATTATAATCACAAATTTCTCTTCTAACTTAAAACAATCAAACTAACGAGTAACAAATTCAACTCCAACCAAAATATTGAAATACCGGAATACAGAGTTCGGTGGAGAATTGAGCTTCACCGAAGCTCGCAGAGCCAAAATTCCCCAACGCCTGATTATCGCCGCTAGAAATTGATGAATTGCAGCTCTCAATCGCAGTGACCGTGGACGAATCACTGCAATTTCTGGCGACGTTATCAAAGAATCCGCTAGTCATTGCCACATCGTCATTGGAGAAGTCGAGTAGATATTCATCGACGGCAAAATGGTCAGTAGTGGAATGGTGCTTCTCGGGCGAAAATTGAGAGGCTCCAGCGGCGTAGAAGCCACCAAGGAGATACTCCGGCACCTCCATTGATGCAGAGCAGAGTTGGAGAGAAGAGCAATTAGAGTTGCAGGAGAGAGGAGTGGAATGAGGGGTTTATGAGAAGGCGGAGGAGGGGCGTAAGTGCAAATATGAAAAGTTGGGGGCATCTTTTATGCATGCAGATAAATATGAATTTAATAAAGGGCATGTGACATGAAGGTTCTGTAAAGTTATTATTAACTTAATTTGTATTATTTTTGGTTTTGGGGTATCTAATTCTAGGCCACGGGCACTACTACTTACTTACTTATCCTCTGCCTTGTGTTTCATTTTCTGATTTTTCTGATTTTTCTGATTTTCATTTTAATATATAAATATAATTTAAAATTAAGGGTTTAACAAATTAAATCATAGTTTAAAAAGAAAAAAAGGAGGAACCAAGAATAATGTAATTTGATAAATGGAATAATTAAGAAGGGGTATTAAAATTGAAATAAATAAACCGTAAAGAATCAACCCCGCAGATTATGTCGAACTCACTTATAACTCCAATAATGTCCAAATTTTTACGGACGATTCCTGTGCACCTAATAATTTTATTTTATTGGGATAAGTGATATTTAATATTTTTAATATTTCTGATTCTAATTTAAATTAATATAATTATATTATTGCTTGGGTGTTGCCCAATCATCACCATCTTTAACCTCTAATTATATTCCTAAACCCACGTTTAAGCACGATGCTTACAGCTCGACTTTCTAAAATTTAACGCCTTCTATTGGTTTAAAGATTAAGGATAATGCTAAATTAGTATGTAATTTTGTAACTTCTGTAAATATATTAGAGTAAATCAAAATTTCAATTTAACCCAATTTTACTTACCAACTCACTTATACTCGATCATTGTTTTTATTTTATTCTTAATTTTTTAAATTTCATATTATGTCCCAAATGTGATGGATACGTATAACAAGAGAAAAAAGGTTATAAAACCGGACAATTTATAACGACATGTGCAACGATCTCTCTTTTCAACACAACGTATAAAATCTCGCTTATAGATTGTGCAGCTTTATTTTTGTTAAAATGTCCATTTTAGATTCTTATTAATTTTTAAGATGTTTCTCTTGGTAAACCGGCCAAATTCAAAATATTAGATCAACGGTTTTAGTTTAAATTTATATAAAGAAAAATATTGAGATGGCATGTTGGTAAGTCTGACACAATTAAAAAAAAAAATGACATTACCTTTGAATATAAGATAAACGTGAGAAAGATAACCAACCCAAAGTTATGAAGACTCTATACATATCCTTAAAGTAGGGACCAAGCTTGTAAGAATGGTATTGAGATTATTTTAAATTTTAAACCACGGTATAACATTATATATAAAATATTTCTTAACAACTATGTTCAAGTCGGCTAAAGAAAAAAATATATAAAAAAAGAGTAGAATTATAAAATAATAATAATAATAAAAAAAAAAGTATATGTACTAGAAGACCTATTTAAAAAAACGAGCGACCTATAATATTAATTAATAACTATGATAAAAAAAAATGGTTAAAGCTAGTTTAGGAAATAAATGTATAGTTAAATTAAGTTTGATTAGATTAAAATGAAAAATGTATTTAGATTAGACTTTTTAAAATTGTGGACTTTATGAAGGGGGGAAGTAGTAGGGTTTGAGAAGCACGTGACAAAGGTGGGAATGTGTCAGGGATCATGTGACACTTACAGGTTCGGTTTCTTTTTTATAAAAAAATTAATAACATATATAATTAAATATAAATAAAATTGCATTTTGTTTGGGTCATTGTCAACTTTGAAGGGGGTGGTTTCACAAAGAGCTCAGGAATCTATAGTAGGGGCCAATTTGGAATTAACTTTCTTGGATGCTCCCTCACACGTGCATTGTCTATGTCATGCAAGGCACGTGCAGAATCCATCCCATCCACCCCATTTCCAAAGCACCTTCTTCTTTATTTTCCTCCGAACTATAATCATATAAATCCTCTCTTTTTCAAAAATTAAAATACTCCAAAAGTGGAGATTTAAACCTATTAAATATTATTATGGTTTATAAAAATTAACTTCAAAATAATTAAGATATATATATATATTGGGGGTGAATTTATGATCCACCGCTCCCTTTGGTTGAGGTGGGGGGGAATTATGCGAAGTATACTGAAAATGTGTGAATGCTGGTTCCATGATGGAGCTTCCAAAGCTTCACCGTATTGTCACAACCACCTGAGCAAAGGTTGTGAAGGGGATGGAGTAATGCGGAGCAGACAAGGGCACCTGGTGCAGTAGATGGAGCCCATGAAACAGACCTGACTCCTACTGGGTGAGCTTCATCATCCATACTAGAGGTGTCCCAACCACCGTCAGCTTCTTGCAGTGAATACAGAGATATTGGCATCAGATGAGCCACATGCCAACACAACACACCCACTTCGTGAGGGGCCCTACCAATTGAGTCTACACAGGACTTATGAACATCCAATGTATGGGCTCTGTCACCTCTCATTTTGATTGCCTTCCTTCCATCTTAACATCCAAATTTTAGTATTACGTGATAATGAAGCCCAGCCCATAGCACCCATTCACCCCTACCTCAAGGCCCTTTTATTCCACCTATATACCTATGGGCCTCCATGACTCCTCCACATGAGTCCTCCAAAATAATGTTTGCTTCTTCTCCTCTAGATCTCACTGCTGTTCTCTTCGATCATAATTGATGTATTATATTTGTATGTATATATATATATTTTATAAAAGAAGGGCCAAATTAAAATTTGGCTAGTTGCGACAAAAAAAAAAGAAAAAGAAAAAAGAAAAGATATTTATTTTAAGTGAGAAACGCATTAACATATTATATAATATATATTTTTAAATTTAATATTCAATGAACCCTTTTATATACCCTTCCAATTCTGGATCAAAACCAAATCCCTGCTCCTTTTCCTCTCTAAAAATCTCATTTCTTTTCTTACAGAATTGTTCAAAAAAATGGATCAAAATGTACAAGTGATTTCGAAGAAAATTTTGAATATGGTCCGTATAGCTTATTACATGCTGAGGAAAGGAATTTGTAAGAGCAAGCTTATGGCCGACCTCACAAATCTCATGTCCAAACGCCGCAAAATCACCGGCAAAGCCATCGCGAATCTCATGTTCCACCACCAAGATGGTGCCGCCTCTGCCTTCTCCCTCGCCCCTTTTCGCCGTAACCACCACCCCGATGGCACCGCCAGTCACTACGAATTTAGCTGCCGCAACAGCCCTGCTTTTCCCAGCTTCCATTACTTTAACAAACGCCGTCGTTTCTTCACGTGTACTCAGACACCCAACACGCTGGACGATGACGTGGCCGCGATGAATGCTTTCAAGACTGTTTTGGAAGTTCTGAACAATGACATGGCGTCCCCTGCGCTACCCGAGTTTGGGCGAAGCCCGATGGTGGTGAGGCAGCTGAGAGTTACTGACTCGCCGTGTCCGGTTGCGGGAGCTGCCGTGGAGGACAGCCACGTGGATAAAGCGGCGGAGGAATTTATAAACCGGTTTTATAAGAAGCTTCGGTTACAGAAGATGGGGGAGTAAAAGGGAAGTTTTGAAGATGAAAATTAAGGGTGCTAAGTTTTGTCTAATCTTTGTGTTCATTAAATTGTCGTGGTTGGTGCCTGCATTTTCTGTACGTATTGTGCTTTGTGCATCCACTTTTTTTTTTCTTTTTAAATACTTATAACAACAACAATAATAATTCAAAGGAATTCTAGAAACTCCAAACTTTTTAAGACGAAGAAAAAAAAAAAACTATTAAGAATGAGAAGCGGAAGAGGAATTATCCTCTATTCAGTTCTGATCTCTGTTACTTTTCTTATGTTATTTCTTTCTCCTGTTCTACTACCATGTTAAGAATGAGAAATTGAATTGATATTGAAAAATAGATACTCTGATACCATGTCGAGAATGAAAAGTTGAGTTACTATGTTAAGAATGAGAAACATAAGTGGGACTTTCAATCCAACTAGTCCCGCGTATGTTTTTCATCATTAACAAAATTTTAGTTCTGCCGACGCTGGCTGAAGCAACCATTATCGTCGATAGATACCATAATCCAAACTCGAATAAACAACAAAATTGAAGCTTCTCCATAGCTACTATCAATTCTCCAAATTCAACTTCCGCGGTATATTAAAGTGAATCCATGCCACCACCTTGAAAAATATGGGTTCGGTAAGATTCCACCTCGGTTATGAAAGTGAACAAAACATTGTTATGTGAAAATTTTTGTAGCAGACACATTTTAAGGAAAAGTACAAAAGAGAGAATATCTTCTAGCTCATCATATGTGTTTTAAACACAACAGGGTGAGTTTGGGTTGTTATAGTTTGTTTGTTTAAACATATTTTAATGTTGAAGGATGAGGAAGATTTTGGATGTATGAAGTTATTGGGATGAATTTGTGTGTTTGATTATAATAATGGAATATAATGAAAGCATAGATTACACGTTGTATTATTGATAGGTATGGTTGAAGCTAAAGACAAAGGTGTGAACTTTAGGGCCTAAATTAAAGTGGAGTTAATAATGCCTCATTTTGCATGTAATTTAAGGGAAGGTGGGAACGGGCAAAAGCCATAGACCACCCAGCTCCCATAAAAGCCCAAAAAGTTTAGGCAAAATATTAGGTGGGCGCAAGAAATTAGGGCAAATTTGTGTGTGACAAATATTTTCCCATTTTTTTTTTTTAATTTTAAGTTGAGTTGGGTATATGTTTGTTGGTTCATAATCATTTTTCATAATGGGAAATTGTTGAAAATTATATGCAACAAGAAAATGAGAAAAAGAAACTAAAAAGGGGTTTGAAGTAAAGGGGTTTTAAAGCAATTGATATTAACTGGCAGCTACTTTAGGAAGCAGCGGGGAAGAAGGCAAAAAAGAAAGAACCTTTTATTATTATTTTTTTATTTTATTTTCCTTTTAAGAAAAAGGAGAAAATGGCCTAATAAATTTCCCACTCTCAAACACTCAAAAACAAAACTCATTTTATATAGTTTTTCTAGTAAATGAATTAATATATTTAAAGTTGTTGCTTTTCATTATTTATTAATGCCCA